CCCCCCCCCCAAAACCAACAACCTTCCCTTCTCCACCCCACAGCTTCTCCCTCCCCCCCTGCACAAGCATCTCGTTCAGTACTCTGAGGTGCTAAAACATGTACTGCTGGGCCTTCTCTGTATGGCTACTCCTGCCAGCTAGCTAGTGGCACGTGCTACAACCACACCTCCTTTTGAGGGCAGACACGTGGTAAGAACATTAACGGGGGCAGGGCAGATCCCAACCGGCTAACACTGGGTTTTCAACTTTGCTGACACGTTGAACAAGACCTTCCTGCTCAAGCCATAGGCGAGACCGAAATGGAGGCTTTCCACATTCAGATGTCAATGCTACTTGGGGGAAAGTGAAAGATTTCTATTGGAACAGTAATACAAGAATCACCCCTATTACCCACAAGAGCAGCACTCCAAGCTCACATTCAGTCTGATTTAGAGCATGCCTCTAAATCAGTCTACAAGGCCACTTATAGAGTTTCCAGCAAACCCCGGCAGTAATTTTGCTGAGAGAAGGATCAATATGCAGGCCACCGAGAAGTTAACATGCAAGCTGTCAGTGTCAAAATACCTTCCTCCAGGTGCCTAGTTCCTATGTCCTTTTGGATTCTGCAGTGGACTTCCTAACACCCCTCCCACTCAAAGTTGTTTAATACGCCCCGTTCAGTGGGGAAAGGGCAAGAGCTCATTTGTTACCTAAGCGGAAAACAGCTCTTGAAATGATTAACGGGAAGTAACAGCTATTCATCATATGGCTGAATAAGAACCTGCATTCACTGCAGGCACTTCATGGCAGTTACCTTCAGCTTTTTCAGTTCCTGAAGAATCATGTAGTCAGGCATGTTGTCAAAAAGTCCATCTGTTGCTGTCAGAATAATGTCTCCGAGCTGAACATCAAAAGAAGTACTGTCAGCAGCATCTGGGCTGTGAAGATGATGATATCATGTCAAAGGAAAGGATTTCACATCACACTAAAAGGTACAAAGTCCTGTCAAACAACAGCATCAACGGCTTCTGCAATTCACTGCTCTTATAACATGTTTTGTTGGGAAAATGCTGCATCAGTGCAGCTTATCAAGAGAGCCAGTGTGACAGAAGACACCATCAGGATCACAAACAGTTAACATCTGGGGAGGTGCATCAGGACAATTCCGTCTAATCCACTTCACCATGGTAACCATCAAGTCCAGTGGTAGTTCAGGGTTTCCTTCTCACCCAATTTAAACATGTCAGAGGGCTTGAGGAGAGGGAGGTGAAAACTCCCAACTGGGATGAGAAGGGCGATGCCTAGATACTGAAGCACCTTTTATTGTGAATGATGCACCCGCAGCTATATAATGCACCGTACAGGAAGGAAGCAGCACACACTTTGGTCACCATGGCAAACCCCAACTCTTAAACAGAACGAGGCCTTTAATGAGGAGCAGCAGGCAGCCTTGGCTTTCAATGGCAAAAAGGAGTTGGCTCCCCACACTGGATGAGGGGCTGATTTTACCCCACTTGAACTTGCAGTTCTAGGACGATCAGCATTTCAACCCAGTGTTTTACATCACTGCCCTATCCCGATACCAATTTTATATGGACTTGTCCAACCGTTAAAAGGAAAAACAGGAAGGCAATTAAAAATGAATGTAAATATCACTTAAAGTTGAGATGAGTGCAAGCCACTATGATGCATCCTATAACCAGGATTCAGAATGGAAATGTGGGCATTTCAAGGGCTGATGCATCTTCCCCATTTTCCTTAATCCACAATGACTCATTCTTTGCTTCCTGAGCTTCCAGAGGATGCTTTTCTGATAACCGCCCTTGTGCTATTTTTATTCTTTACACAAGATACCTAGGCCTTAAGAAAGCTAGAACCACTGGAATGATTTATAATCCGAAGAGTCGATTTCTGAAGTGCTCTCATTTCAGGATCCTGATGGCTGTGCTCTTCCTACCCTTGGGGCCTTTGGTCTTCCTGTGTGGCTTTGTTACCTTCATCACAGTAATAGCAATCTAGCTGGAACTATGTCCACCCAGTATCCTCAAAGGAATTATTTTGGCATTGGAAACTACAAAATCTAAAACCTCTGACTACGAGCTTAACATTCATTCTCCATTGGCGGTACAGGGCACACAACTCTTCTTTAGGAGATTTTTAAGGTCAGGATCAAAAAATTAATTTAAAAAAATTAAATAATTTAAGTACATTTTTAAAGAAGATTATGAACTTAATTTAATACAGTAGAGGAAACTCATTAAAAGAAAAAAGAGACAAGCAAAGTGACATAAGACAAGAACGTGTGTTCTGCAATTCTGATTTTGCTTGTTTGAGAAGTGGCGGATGGGCTGGGCCCGCACTGGAAGGCGGACGGCTCAGCAGGGGGCACTGCCCAAGTTCACCTTTGGCCTGGCAAGTTTTGTGGACGCAGTGTCTTTCTAACACAGGCTTGGTGTTCTGCCAGATGGAGTTCTGCTCATTTTGATGGAACGCAGCGTGCTGTTGGACACTTCGCTGTACTGCAATGCAAGCTGCAGTCACACGCTGCCCTGTGCTCCTCTCAGGCTTCATGACCTCAGTGCCAAGCTATGCGAGCCAGCCTGCTCCTTGCTGGTCTCTAGAGGAGCAGGGACTCTGAGAAGATGGGTGCACCCGAAACCAGAATACATGGCTGACACCAAGTGGATCAATCGAAAGTGTTCTCCATCAGGTCAATACTGCCTGCTGGTGCCCAGTGCTAGCCCAGTCCATCCTTATTCAACTCTCACTATGTGTGCTGCAGCCACATCCAAGGAAGTTCAAATGGTTTCTGTACTTTGCTACAGTCAGTTGGAACTTTTCTTGCATTGAAGTTGGGCCTTGAGACACATCCTCCCTGATCCTAGATGGGCTACAAAACTCTTATTTGTTTCAGAGTAAGGAACAAAAAGCCTCTAATACTGACTCATTCATAGTAACTTGTATTTAAGGCTCCTGCAGTTACTGCAAACAAACAGCAATAGCTCAAACCTGCAAACGCAATGAATTCGTCACAGTGATTAAAACAACCTTAAGGTTTGTATTGTGTTGGCACAACATGCAAAGGACCTGGACATGACATTTGTTACTACACCAATGGATATTTCTGGTTTTGTCAGGACAGTTTCATAATATCCTAGTCCCTCTGAGGATCAAAATGACTCGCGTGCTTTATGCACTTAAGTTTAGGGGAAGTGACCATGCCCCTGAGCTCATAAATGCTTCAGCTAGCTTGGACTCTTACCAGGTTTTGTTGACCTGTACTCAGGTCAGCAGTTATTTCTTAGACAAGTACACCCTCCTCCCCACCTTCTGGTTTGTTTGTTTTTTTTTTAAATAAGTACACCCAGCGCTAGATTCCAGCATACCGAGCGCTTTCACTGAAGGTCCCAGAACCTCTCACGTGCTGGCTGTATACTGCATTCATCCCCATCTCACCTATCACTTAGTACGACTCCCTCTGCTTCCGGCGGCGCTATCGACAGCTGGAACGGAGTGTTGAAGTAATGCTGTTGTTCATCGGACCGATGGACCACTTCTCCTCCTCTCACTACCAGAAATCCAGAATCTCCCAAATTTGCTGTATGTAAACGATGACTTGTTCTGTCCAGAACCACTATGCAAGCCGTACTGCTTCCTAGAAGGAAAGTTAAAAGGATCAACAGGAGACGGGCTAAGCTGTAGCAGTACTCATGTCACAGGAACCGACTGTTGCTCATTATTTCATTTATAGGCCAGCTGTTCAAATACTCATCATCACTGCTGACAAATCCAGGCACATGTAAATATTTGTTGGTGAGAAACAAAGTGAATATATATTATGAGGAGGAAAAAAGCAGTGGTGAGTTTTACAGGCATTGTGCGACACAGCTGCCAATTAATTTGCTTATCTTGCTTTGATTTCTGTCATTACAGCGTGCTGACAAACACTTAGTGCAGTTTCCCATTCTAAAATATTCTAGTGTGGGTAGGTGTGCACAATCCTCTGAAGGTGACCTATTTTACAGAAGGCACAGAATAATGAAATCATGATTACTGGGACCGTAATGGTAGCATGATAGCACCGAGACCATGCTAGGTGCTGTCCACACACTTCCCTTCACCAGTCCTGAATAATCCGTGCCCAGCAAATGGACAACTGAAAGATGTCACTAGGTGTTTTTACATTGCGTGCGTCAGAGCAATGCTTTTCTTTGAGAGCACGTCTTTGTAAAACCGGCTCAGAGGCCTGCTTTCAAAGAAATACATGGTCTCTTCATGAAATTCATTCAGAAATAAGTGCACTGCTTTAAAGCTCAGTTAAGAAGTTAGCTCCAGTATTTAAGTGCCAGCAGGCAGGTGCAACCATGTCACCTGACACATTGTTAACTGCCTGGACACTTCATTCATAACATGCCGATCAGGATCCCAACGCTGGAAAAGTCAGTGACACACCAAGTTTTTAACCTCATTTTATTTCTATAGAAACTGTAGAATCCTATTTTCACAACCGTCTTCATTGCTCATCTCTCAGGGTCCTACTTAGTAGTCCTAGAACTCTCAATAATTGCTCAAGTTATTTCACAAGAGAAAACTTCTCTGCAAATACTGTGCTAGATGGATTGAGAGAGTAAGGGCATAGGGGAGAATGGAAATACCCACATCAATTCATACTGCCCCTAAACCTCCCATTCACGGCGGGGGCATTATGGAATTTGAATCAATTCCCCTGTAACATCTGGAACTGCCCACTGACGGTGACGTGGCACGTCAATTGCTGTGCCCAAAGAAGTCTGATCCATAATCTAGCGCATTGGGCGGGGTTGAGAGCAGAATCCCTTTTCATTTGGAATGAACATCTCAGAAGTTAACACATTTAAACCTTTCCTAGAGACTGAAATGCAGCTGGTTCCAACATCCTCAGCTCTGCCAGGAGTCATTTCTAACAAGATTAAGGGTTAGAGAAAGACCCTGAGCTTTCCATTAACTAAGAAACGCCTCCAAGCAGAGCGGCCCATTTGATGGATCAGGGGCTTACAAATCAACAGCTCCGAGCCTTTAGCACGGAGCACAGCTAGCTCTGGGCCATCGTCTCTCCTGCACGGGGTTGTTGCAATTGATTAGCAATGCTTTTCTTTTTGTGGGGCTCCCAGCCTCACTTGGTTCAGAGTCGAGCAGCGTTAACGTGTACTGTAACCAGAAATCCATGCAAAGAATGCAGATCCCGTGACTCTGCATATACTGCTCTTGAGACTCGGAAAGGTCAGGCCAGGCTGTCTCCTTCCAGGGAAGGGCTGCGGGAGCTTGTCACGAGTGGTCCACCTTGTCGGTCACTTAATCACTTTGACTGCTTTGCACAAAATAGCAGGAGTATAATTAGACACTCCAGCCCCCTGAAATAAAGCAGTCACTGAACAGACACAGGCTAAAAGAGGGATCCGGCAGGCTGCTTGAGGCTTGCACCCATTTTTTAGGCATGTAATAAAAAGCAAACATCTGGTCCCTGGCTCAGCAGACTGATTAGACATAGTTTACATAGCGCTCTCTGGGGAAAGAAGTTTGAGGTCAGGTAAGAAGCATGTGCGTCAGGCAGGGTAACTCACTCTTAGTGTGTGAAAGGTTAGACAGCCTTTAGAATGGCGTTCAGCTTTCAAGAGCAGGGCCAAATGTGGCCTTTCTGTCCGCACGACTTCCACTGGCTTCCAAGGGAAATGTATAAACAGATCTGAAGGCCGATTGTGCACAACATCCAGGAAGCTCATGGTTGTAGCACATCTCTTTAGCTTCACTTCAAATCTTTACTCCTACCCACATAAATCAGCAACAACATAGGACAACTGATGGCACCATGCAAACCATTCAATCAGTGCAGGGGTGCTCAACCCCCAGCCCGCGCTGAGCTGCGATGCAGTCCAGGCGCTCCCGCAGGTCCAGATATTTGGGGGGTGGAAGGGGCAGCTGCAGTCAATGCTGCTGCCACTCCTCCACTAACAAATTCCGGAGACATGACCCTGCAACACAGGGCCCAATCCAGCGTGTGCAGGGCTAGAACCAGGGGACTGGCCCAATCCAGGCTAGGGCCACAGCTGTGACCAGGGATTCAGTCCTGCACAGGCCAGATGGGGCCTGCGGACCCATCCCCTACCACTCACGCAGCCGGCTGGACCAGAAGGTTGGGCACCACTGAAGTAGGAGTTAGCAGGACCAGCTCAAGGAGGCACAGCCAGCTCTCCTGTTACTTATCAGAAAAGCCCGGGTGGAACCAAGCCTAAATCACAAGCTGAGGAGCTGGTGTTACACAAACACAAGCAGGTGTGGACTGCCGGGAGAGCTTATTTTGCAGCCATTCTGCAAGTGTGGAAGACATTCTCAGCAAGTCTATTCTTTAATGAAAATCACTGAAGTGCTCCTTGGAGCAGAGTTACATTCCAGTACCCTCACATATGGAGCATCAGTGCTCCAAGACAGTGAGGGTTCCCTTGAAATTCAGGACAGATAACTGGCTGAGGATCCACACTGAACTACTAAGTGACTGCTCAAACCACCTTGAATCCATAAGCCTGGCCAGCACATTTTACACCATGGCATCAACATGTGGGTTCTTTGTTGCTCTTACCAAGCAGAGGGACTTTGTTCTGCAGTAGCTCACAGTAACTGGTGGTAAGAATCCCAACAGGGTTGCTTGGTACGAACCGTCCTTCTTTTACTAAGCGCTCACACGTTCGCATTAGAGTCCCTGAGAACTGAGAAGGGTCGACCCCGTAGTCTCTCCAGCCTCCTACGCCATCTGCTACCCCTTAAAAAAAGAAGAGAGGGAGAAAGAAAGCAATGTTACCACTCATGCAGCTTAACGAGGTAGTATTAAACGCTCACTTCTCACACACTTACATGAGGTCCAGAAGCTAGACCACTGCGGGCTGTTACCAATAGTTCTGTACTAAGCCCGTCTTCAAAGTGGTGAGTTTTACATTTGTAGTACCTCTGCTCTCATGTCACAGCTAGTGGGAGAAGAGTTATATTTGGTTTTCAGGGGAAAAAAGATGCTCTGAAAAGCCATGCTTCAGAGCTATTCTGATGTTAGGCCTCAGATGCATTTCACAGTTAGTAAATATGGTAAAAATGTCTAAAGCTAGAACTTCTGCTTAAAATGATATTCTGAAGAAAGTGACTTCATTTTAAGAGATCCTAGAGTCGCCTACCTTCCTAGGAATTCAAATTAGATCACAACTTTCATTAGCCCATTGGACAGAGAGGAGGTGTGTGTTGGGGGACTGTAAAACATTTTAAACATTACCAGAACAAGTGGTGAAAATGATTCCCCCTCCCCGCTCAGCACCCCCAGGAGGAAGGATCCCCTCAGTCACTTGTACCGGGGGGAACGTCCCAGGGAGAAGCAAGTTCTGCAGAAATCAAGCTTCCATTTGAGGAAAAAGATTTGAGAAACCTCTACCCAGGAAGGGCGTGAGCCACAGCAATACTGTGCTTTATACCTGCAGACAGACACATCATCACTTCTGGCTTCAGCCAAGCAAGAGTGAAAACTGAGCAGGGTCTCAGTGGCTGTTCACACAAGTGGGATCTGGCAGGCTGCACTCTGGGAAACTCGGAGAGCTCTACGTAGCAGCAGAGGGAAGGGCAGGAGCTACATCGAGCGAGAGCATACAGGGGCAGATTCCCAGGATCCATCCCCACCGCTCACTGCAGCCCCTACGATGGCAGCAGCGTGGAAAAAGAAAGGGCCCGTTTCCCTCCTCACAGGAGAAGAAAGACAAGTGTAGGGAGAGGAAGGAACTGGATTCAGAGCTCTTAGCTGGAGGCCAGGTGAAGTCCCCGACCTGGGCCCAGCACATTGCTCAGCTGGCTGAGACATTTGTCGACTTTTTTCAGTCTGTCCCTAGTGCCAACACAGGCACATTAAAATAGAGTCTAAGCAGTTATTACTGGCTAACTTTAATCTACTACAAAAAATGTATTAGGAAATGAGCCCATAGCTTCTCAACCAATTTAAAATTCTGACCGTCAACTTAAGGGAGTCGCGAGCTGAAATGTGGGATTCTACGACAAAATGAAGTTCAAGTCAATTATTCACGATACAGCACGGTGAGTTACTTCCACAGATCGCAGCAGGCTTGAACGAGAACGATTTCTTACAAAGCAGAATAGAGCCAACCTCTGGCCAAAGAGTGAACATGAATTCATCAGTAAAATGCAATATGCATCATCTCCAAAGGCCCGTCACGCGGGATGCTGTCTGAAATGGAGATGGACGATTTAGAGTTGACCTTGCCATGAACTCTGTAATCTGACAGCAGGTTAGAGCTAGATTCTGCACAGCCTATCAACATTAATCAGATTTCTCCCAAAAATAGTGCACAACCTTTCCGACACCTGCTTTGTCCGTGTTTTCCAAGCAGTACAATGTGCAAAGGGCAACATCTCGCTCTTCTCACGTATGGGCACAGCCAAGAACAACCTCTCTCTTGAAAAAGGATTTGGGAGCGGAGCTCGTCCAAAAGGAGCCCGGGGATTCCAAGAAGCCGCTTTTCTAGTTTCAAGAACAAACGAGCCCTCTCCATGGACTGTTACTAAATTTACTCTTTGGTTTCGGCCACTGGCCAAATCGACCATAAGGACTCGTTTCCTTTTAAATGAATAAAGGGCACTATCAAGTTCCTTCATAAAATACTGTACACGGTTATGCTTTACAAGCAATAGGTCTAGAATGAGAGCCCTAATATTTCTGCATTAAGGTCGCTATGTCTCATTTCCCTTCTGTTCTGGAATCTGAAGTGGTCGAGATGCTACAGAGGGTCACTTCATCTCCAGTAAAACAGTAGTGTTATATTACTGCGCTGCCAGGAAAGCAGCATGCATTCTGCTCTTCACATCACACCGGTATACTCACAAGTGTAACTTTTCTTTAAAAAAAGAAGTTGTGGTTCACAACAAATTGTTTCAGTCACACCCGGGAGATAATTGCAGACAGTTATTTCGAAGCTGAAGATGCATGCAAGTCATGTCTTGTCATCAATCTGAATACAGCTAGTGTACAACCAAAGGCTTGTACAACAGGCACGTTTCAACATACTGCCATCTGCCTAACACTCTTCACCGACCAAACAGCATGAAGCTACTAAAGAGAGCTGTTCACCAGATCAGGCTTCAAACGGGTTTTGTGCAACAAGCTGTTACAAGAAACATGACATGGAAATCGTTTCAGGTGCGGTTGTTCTTCTCCCTGCCCAGTCAGACCATGCGGATTTACATACCAGCCCATGAAGCTAATGCAAGACTCAAGACTGCCATGCTATACTAAAACCAGCAAAAACGGACTAGGCTAGTGATTACCCAAGGGGGGCCACACAAGTCAAAGATGATTTAAGCGCTAGTGCAACTCTGCTGTGCTATTAGCAGCAGAAGAGCCAGCCGATTTCTCCAGTTTGTAACTCGCTCCAAGCCTGGAGCTCGAATCTTGGCCTATGACCACATACTTCATCTTGAGCCACAAAATGACCGGTTCTGCTCTCTCCTCTCCCTTCCCCACCGCCTCCTGCCTGACAGCACATTCCCTCAGCTTCCAACACAGGCACCCACCAGCTTTTCATTCAGTCAGGTTTCTAATTTACTTCTGCACTGGGCTCATGATGAGGGAGCCCCCGCTTTAAAGGTTAGCAAGAGATGCTGGTGGAGAAATGGGTCTCACCCATGTCCAGCAGTAAACAACGCACCTATGTAACACCCCAAAATAACCAGAACCTCAACCTACTAGGGACCAGGCTCCTTAAGGCTGATGGCAGCCAACTGGAAATTCAGACCAAGCATGAGCTGTTTTCAGAACACCCCTTTGACGGTAAAATAAGCTACACGCTATCTCGGTGCGCAATGATTTTAGTAGTGGACAGGAGCCTCAGGCATGAACACTGTGCACAGAAGTGACAGTAACAGCACAAACTTCCCAAACTGGCTCAGCGCTACGCCCCAACTGTGACTTAAAAGGGACTGGTAGCAGGAAGCGAGGACAATTCATTCTCCATATGCACCAGTCCTTGCCCCCTTCCAAGACATTCAGCCAGACGGACCAAACACAGCAGTGATTTCTGTGGTGTGAATAACCATGTTCTTTAAAAAATGACGTATGCGTAACCGGTATGTAAAGAACTATTAAATATAAGAATGACTTGATAACATTTCTCCTGTAACACCATGTCTCCCAATCTCTTCTCAAATTTAGAAAACTCCTGCTACTAACGAAGTCACTGCTGAAGAACAAGGGCATGCGGCTGTATCGATTTTTACTCTTCTTGTTTATCTCGTTTTCACCCAGGACACAGACCACACACAACAATTCAAGACGACCAGAGGCTGGACTGCTAAATAAGGCTGGTCAAATCTCAGCTTACTTATTAGTTCCGCCACATTTCACAATAACATTCAGCATTTTCTTTTAGTCCCCCCGCCTTTCTGACCTTGAATACCCATGGTATAAAATACTAGCTGCTTGAGATTAATAGTATAAGATATTGCCCAAGTGCAATTATTTAGAGCCTTTGACTGAGTGGGTGTGACGGCAGCGTTCAAATATCTGAAAGGCTGCCACAGGAAGATGAAGCAAAACTGTCCTACCCTCAGTGACGAGGAGAACAAGAGGCTGTGACTTTGTGCACTTCCTTGGATGCCTTATACCCAAGGGCATGCAAGGGGTTACATCCGAGCTGCCAGAACCAAGATCCAGACACGCTCATGGCAAGGGGGAACATTAGCAAATAAAACAGCTGAAAAGATTTAAAAGAAAAAGTGCACATTTTTAAAATGAGAAAATGTTCTGAGAGCATTTGGTGTTTCAAGGGCCAGGTCCCTTGTACTAGAGCCTCTCCTTCAGCACAAGGAACTGCAAGTTACTGTTCTGCTGTTCTCCCTTGCGTCGAGAGATCCACGAGCACTCCCCAGAGCTACTGCCAGGTTACATACTCTCTGCGTGCGTCAGTCGGTTAGAGAGACCGGTTCCTTCCAATCTGTCTCAATGCCAGGGACAATCAGTAAAATCCAGTGTCTCAGAGGAAAATCCAGACTGACGGATGTAGCAGTAGCCAAGCCAACCAAGGTAAGATGCAGCGATACTCAATGCTATTCAAGTTAAGTACCCCCGGCAGCCTGCGCTTCAGCTAACTGGAGGGGCAGGAGAACCAACCCGCAAAACCAGCAACGTTTGGGTTAGCTGTGTACATCTCTCCCTTGTAGGGGTTTGGGTTGTGCATCTCTCCCTTGTACACACTTTCAAGGCAGATCTGTCTGTTCCATTCTAGCTCAGACATGCGGTAAAGTTATGGGCTTCTTAAAATGATGCTAACCTTTCATCTGCCCTGCTTCAAATCAGTAACTTTTATGAGTAGCAGTCTGCCAGCCAGCCACAGCTTACCTACCAATTCCCATGTCAGCAGATCGAGCGCAGAAGGACTGCCCTGAGCTGGAAACCTTTGGAAGCTGGTCACTATGAAAGTGCACACCAGGGCACAAGAAGCAGATGCACAAAGATGTGCGGCAGGGCATAAGCGTACCTGCAAACTATATCTGCACATAGCAGGGGAACATAATGAAGCCTTCAGCTCATGCAATATTGAACTTCTAAGTCCGTTACTGAATTAACCATGAGTCACTGGTGCCAGAGGACAAAGTGACACATTTATGGAATGATTTTATGTTTGGCACAAAAGAAGCGTTACATTAAAACTTCAAGAGCAAAAGAAACTGCACCTGAAATGCATCACCTACAGTGACGTTGCATAAGTACTTTTAAAACAGGTGACAGGAAGCAGAGGTAAACTCGTATTCCAGTTAGCCGAAGTCCTCCATTCAAATCCAGATCCAGTTCTCCAAGTCAGCAGCTAAACTCTGACTTAATAAGAGCACAGTGGGATCATGATGCATTACCCAAGCTGTTTTCTGATCAACCGGACCTTGACATTTATAAAGAAATAACTATACACAAAGCATCTCATAAGGTCAGGTCACAACTTACAGATTGAACATAATTATGAAAGATTTGGGTGTAGTCAATACGAATGGTTAATATACAGGTCAATTTGCATTACACATTTTATCAACCAATAGCACTGGTTTATGGAACTCAACCAGCTTAAGGCTCATTTCATCTTTTCCCCATCTCGGGTAGATACACCAAAAGAAGGAACAAGAGGCTAGGGGAAGAAGGGAGGGCTTAAGTAACTACAGATGCAAGAAATGGTATTAAAAGAAGGAAGAGGAAAGCAACAGAGATGGGAAGAGAACAAGGAAGCTCTAAACAACCACATTCGTGGGGTGATGGGACTTCCCTGAAAGCATCCAGTGTTTATTTTGGCCATTTCTAGTACTGGCCTGTATTCTTCTTCCTTGGCTGGTGCAAAAAGACAGAGTGGGAACCTCACAAACGTTTTCCTCAAAATGATGAAACTTGGTATAGATTGGAACATAACAGGAACATGCTGAATTCTTGTTACGCTCGAGGTGTTTTGCAAGTTTCCCAGCATGGCTAACACCACAGGTATTAAGCAAGACTGAAAATGCCCATGCTACTAAAGGGTAGGTAGGCTGCTGCTGGTATTTGTTCCCTGGAAGGGATCTGTGACACAGAATAGATCTAACTCACCCAGCACTCAAAGTGCCAAGCTGCACCTGGACACTAAACCAACAAAAAGAACAGATTATTGCAATGCTTCAGCCAGCACAGAGACTGATTGGTGCTTCCACTATGGTACTTGGCTTGCATTCAGTTGGACTTATTTCCTTCTACAGCTCTCTCACAGGGCAGGGCCTTCCCTTGAGACAGCTTCAGTTATGCAACTCGGGTTACACCTACTGCCAGCAAGGGATGTGAACAGCGGGTACAGTTATAGATGTCTGGCTGCAAATGTAAGCCACAGTAAATGCTTAGCACCATTACAGGAACCACAGTCAGAAAGAGTGGTCAGGTCGGAGGTTATCTGCAGCTAAGAGCCATTGTTTTTTTCAAAATGCTGAGCATAAATGCTCTGACAGAGCGATTCTACTGACAGCTGCATTAGCCACCACTGAGATGGTCTTTTTTTAACAGCATCTGTATTCCCCAACAGCCCTGTCAATAACGTGTGGTTTCCTTACAAATTACAACACTCAACTGAATGTCAAGTGCACGTAATAGGAGCAACACTTGCACAAAGAAAGTGATGTTACTGTTGTTGGGCTCCATGCTTCAAGAAAGATGTGAACAAATTAGATGAGTCCAGTCCTGGATTGCAGCAAGGGAAATTTAGGTCAGAGTTTAAGGATGAACTTTTGATGAGGGTGGTTAAGGATTGGAACAGGCTGCCTAGAGACACTGTGGGCTCTCCATCCTTAGACAAACACTTGACTGGGATGGTTTAGTCAAGGACGGTCCTGCCTTTAGCAGGGGGTTGAGTTAGATCAGGGGTTCCCAACCTTTTTATGCCGAGGACCAGCAAACCGCAGACCAGAGGTGACCATGGACCAGCAGTGACTAGCACACTGCGCGCAGGCAGGCAACCCTTGTTTATACTCAGTTGGCTGCTGATCCGCAGTATGCTGGTCACTTCTAGTCCGTGGTTTGCCGACCCATGGTCACTTCCAGTCCGGCAGCCAGCCCTCCTGCAGACTCGCAGCCAACCCTTCACAGCCCGGCATCAGGCCACAGCCCAGGGGTTGGAAATCCCTGGGCTAGATGATCTCCTAAGTGTCCTTCCAACACTTCCACAAGTGTATCCTTAGCTCATTCTTCATGTTTAGAAGTCAGATCCCTCATGTTCTGGGACCAGCAACATTTTTGTTAATCCAATGACTAACCTCTCTACATTATATTAAGTCTCCATAGTGTTGTCCTTTTGTTCCCTAGAGCAAGACAGCACACTGAACTAGGCTGCTCCACTGACAAGTTTTTACAAATGATCTCGTTCATAGATTCATAGATGTTGGGGTCGGAAGGGACCTCAACAGATCAAGTCCGACCTCCTGCCCTGGGCAGGAAAGAGCGCTGGGTCAGATGCCCCCAGCCAGATGCCTATCCAGCCTTCTCTTAGAGACCCCCAAGGAGGGGAGAGCGCCACCTCCCTTGGAAGCCCGTTCCAAATGTTGGCCACCCTTACCGTGAAGAAGTTTTTCCTAATGTCTAGCCTAAATCTGCTCTTGGTCAGTTTGGGACCATCGTTCCTTGTTACCCCAAGAGGCGCCTGGTGAACAGAGCATCTCCGATCCCTTGCTGCATCCACCTAATGAATTTGGAGACGGCCACGAGATCACCTCTCAGCTTTCTCTTGCGGAGGTTGACGAGGTCCAGGTCCCCCCGCCTCTCCTTGTAGGGCTTGTCCTGTAAGACCCTAACCATACAAGTGGCCCTCTTGAGTCTATCAACATCCCTCTTGAAGTACAGCACTCAAAACTGGACGCGGTACTCCAACTGCAGTCTGACCAGTGCCGCAGAGAGAGGAAGTATCACCTCCTTGGCAATATCTGTCAGTCATCTGCTGGTACATGATACAGTGCGGTTAGCTTTGCTAATGATTTCGTCACACTGACGACTCATGTTCATCTTGAAGTCCACTCCGACTCCGAGATCCATTTCCGCTGCTGTGCTGCTGAGAGAGTCACTTCCCAGCCAGTCAATGTGCTGGATATTTTTGCACCCTAGGTGCAGCACTTTGCACTTGTCCTTGCTGTACTGCATCCTATTGTGTCCTGCCCACTTTCCTCACCTGTCCAGGTCTGCCTGCAATCATTACTAGACATGACATCAAATAAACACTTGCTTTCTATGTCCTTCAGATATTTAGTTACTCTGACACTAGCACTTCCTGGAGCCATCTTTTCAGATTGTCTATCCTTAGCCATTTGCATTTCCCCCTACAAGTCCTTTTCTTACTCAGTGAGACGCTAGCCTGCATTCCTTGGGGCATCAGCTTTTTCCTCCCCAAACCATGCCTACCATGGGTATTAGATAGCCAAATAGGAAGGGGGAAAGACTGCCGTAAAGGCTCTTGCCAAGGTCACTTTCTAAATAAAGTCCCATTCACATCTTAGAAAGCACTGGTGTCGTGGGATGCAGAATGACTGCTGCTGTGTTTCAGTAATGGGTCACAACAGGGACAGCAGACCCCAGGAAAACTGGCAAGGATAGATGGCGCCTAACAAAAGAAAAAAAGCCAAGTAAGAAAAAGACAGGTCCCAAGACTGGGGGAAGCATCATTAAAAAAACGGCACCACAAGGTTTATAAAACAAACCTCAACCCCGAATTTGAAAAAAGTGATTGCAGTGCTAAATAGGACTCATGCTGTTAATTCCACATGCAACTTGGAATACACCAGAGGCAAAAAAGGAGTAAATCTACTCACCCATGCCAAGCGAGGAAACCGTTGATAGTGACGTGCATTTTAGTGGCTAGCAACTGATGAAGAATTTAGGCTCTCATTTATGCAAATGTAGGTTTCTATCCATTATACAGTGCCCCCAGACTCACTAGACCAGGCTTGTCCAACATGCGGCCCGCCAATTGCCAACCATGCGCCCCGCCAAGCCATTTTCTGCGGCCCGCGGTGCTGCGATGGGAAACGAAAGTAAATGCTGTTTACTTTTGTCCCCACCCCTTGTCCCTCCCCCAGCCCCCCAGCAGCTTCCTAACGGCTGCTGAAGGGCTCGGGAAGGGACAAGGTTCCCACATGCACGGCATCAGCTTGACGTTGCCAATGCGGTGCGGCTCCTCCCCTCCCCCTTCATTTCACTGTCCTGTCCTAGCCCCTCCCCTCCCTTCCTCATTTGCATGCTGGCTCCACCCTACGCCAGCCCTACCAGCCAGAGCAGGTCGCGGTGCAGCGGGCAGGCGGGTGCGGATGCCGGCGCAGAGACATGCTGCGGCCAGGCCTGCGGGAGATGCTGCTGCCGCTGCGGCTGTCAAGGTGGGAAGCTGGCACCACTCCTGCCTCCCTGCATCCCACCGCACCCGCAGACATCGCGCTGGGAGTGGCGCGGCTCCTCCCCTCCCCCTTCATTTCACTGTCCTGTCCTAGCCCCTCCCCTCCCTTCCTCATTTGCATGCTGGCTCCACCCTACGCCAGCCCTACCAGCCAGAGCAGGTCGCGGTGCAGCGGGCAGGCGGGTGCGGATGCCGGCGCAGAGACATGCTGCGGCCAGGCCTGCGGGAGATGCTGCTGCCGCTGCGGCTGTCAAGGTGGGAAGCTGGCACCACTCCTGCCTCCCTGCATCCCACCGCACCCGCAGACATCGCGCTGGGAGTGGCGAGTCATGGGCCCTGGGGAGGGAGGGAGCCCTGCCGGTCGAGCTCGGGCTAGCCCAGGGGAGAGGAAGCAGGGGGTGTCCCTGCACATCCCGCACCCCCCTGTAGGGTCCCCGCATGTCCCCCTGGCTGCTGAGCCCAGGCAGGAGGTGTGGAAGCGTCCTCGAGGCC